AAAAAAAAAAAAAAAAAAAGCAACCCTAAATCCACATTTTCCATGATTTAAATGAAACACTACTAAGATATGGATAGCTATATAGTGGTGTTTCATTTTAATCATGGAAAAATATGGATTTGGTGTAACCTTTTTGTAACTGAAAATTGGGGCTTTTTTTAATCGGAGAAAACCAGAAAACCTGCTGGTTAGTAACATTGGTATAAATGGCTTTATGCATTATTGCTCTATGCTATCAATAACAAATCAGTTAAAATTAGAGATTTTTTTCTGATCAAAACAAAGTTGTGTAGTCATAGAAAGTAAATAGTTTAGGCCAAACGTATTAAAATCTTCTAGACTTCATTAAAAATGTTACATGCTGTCTTGAGCTATATACACACATTACTATAAAATCTGAGATGTAAAACCTATAGGATGAATTTGACAAGCGTTCAAATATGATGTTTAGAAATGAAAGATAATTTTCTATTATAAATATTTATCTTCCATTTTTTGCTGTCTGTTTACAGCACATTTTGCCAAATTGTCATTAATTTCAGTATTGACTTCCTTGGAGTTACTCCAGGTATGTACACCTACGTAAATGGAAGCAGAATGTTTCTTTGTGGTTAAGGAAACATCTATGCAAGAAAACAAAGAAAAGACACCACTGTAGCCATTCAGCATCCTAATGAGCAATTATTGAACATCCCTGGATAGCATGGAGTCTGTAAAAGAAAGAAGTAATAGCTTAAACTTTGGGCAAGCAGGTTATGAACTAGATCTCAGGAAGATATGCCTCCAGAAATTAGAGGAATTGAGAAATGCTTTCATAACAGTTATGATCAATTTTCAGATATGAGCCTTATGCCCTAATCCTGCCAAGATACCTACACTTTAGCTAAAATATACAGTATTGAGTCCCAGGTGACCACATCTGAAGGGGTGCTTAAGGGGGTAGAAACTAATGACAGAAACACATGAACAAGTACAGCCTTCACTGTCTTCAGCTAACCCTTTCCATCTCTTCCTTAGTCCTGAAAATAATGTCAGTTATCTTCACAGCCTTCTAGGCTGTCCCCTGAATGTATAGATATTAATATAGTTTATTACACTCAAGGTTAAGGTGCCAACAGATTCACAAATGTGCTTCAAAACTTGTCAATCTCAAGGTCTACAGTAGGTTTCAACCAAGCCTTCATTGTCTGGAGCAACTTGTTTTTCATGTCTGACTTTCACAGCAGTGCCTGTGGCTGTGATAAAACCAATTCCTGTGAATCATTTACTCGTTCTGGGACTTGAAATAAACAGTTTCTATGGGATTCTAAGCACCGGGACTAATAGTATCCAAATAATTGCTCTTACCCATAGTTATCAGAACATTCTACGTTTCTACCTTAATAGTATCAAAAAGGATCAGTTTAAGTTAGTTTGTGGTCTCTGGAGTAAAGCCTTAAGGCAGCAGTTCCCAAACTGTGGGTCGCAACCCCAAATGGGGTCACAATATCAGCAAATGGGGTAGCGATAAACAGGGATTGGGGGGGAGAACAGGTGATGAATTGGAGGGGTGGGTACATGGCCAAGGGACAGGGGAGCAGAAGCAACGCAGCAGAGGAGGGTATGGGCGATACGGCAGAGAGGGCATGTGCCCCCCCTTGAGAATTCTGCACCCAAAGCAGGGTGTGGGGCTGCAGCCAGGCTGGACCAGCTCTGAGTGGGAGCCACCTCCACACCCTAGTGGGTGGGCCCTGGCATGGGCGGAAGTGCCACGCTGCCATGACTGCCAAGGTGAGGTGCAGCAGCATAGAGTTGTGCAGTGCTCAACTCCCACACCAGGTCCCTTCTGCTGGGCTACAGAGACCCCTGGGGGGAGGGCAGCAGGGTGGGGAGCCTCAAGCCTGCAACAGGCAGCCCACATCCTCCCCTTCTCCCCACCCCCACCCCCCCAAAGGCCCTGCTCTGGCTGTGCTGCCTGCAAGGGAAGGGAAAGGGGACCTGGGCTGCTCTGGCCACAGCAGCAACTGCCTCCCACGAGTGGGAGCCAGGGCTCAGGGACTGATGAGGGAGGCAGGGAGCTGCAAACCGTGGTCCTGGAGCACCTGGGGAGGCGGGCTGCAGGTGAGTGCGAAGTGAGGGGCGCCTGGGGGGTAGAGGGCTGTGAGGTGGGAGTGCGGGGCCATGCTGAGGAAATGGGGTCATGACAAGGAAAAGTTTGGGTAGCACTCTATTAAGGTATGGTGATACAAGGATTTGGAAATCAGGAATTCAGCAGTCTAAGCAGCTACAAACAGCAGACTTTTGTACAATTATTTACATTTTCTCTTTGGTTAATGCAGCCAGTATTTAAAATAACACACTCTGTATCCTTTTGTATGTAATTTATAAGATGAGATGTTAGAAGTTATTAGGAGCTCTGTACTTTCCTCTAACAAGTGACTTGTGCTTCTCTGAACCATTCATATTTACCTAATAAAAGTGTAAATATTTGCCACCATGACATTTAATTCTCTTTTAAGCTAGCCTTGTCTCTATGCAGTTATTAAAGCAAGCCCCCTCAATTACAGTGCAAATATTCTCTTAATACAGGTCTCCCTCACTTTATGCAGTAGATGCATTCCTGAAAAACTGTGAATAACTCAAATTCACATAAAGGAAACCCAGTTTACAAGGTAACAAATAGGGATTCGTTCCAAGACCTCGACTGCATCGACAGCAGGTAAGTCTTCTGGGGCAGGGAGGCGCTGGGCTCTTCCCAGCAGGGGCCTGGGTCAGGCTGCGCTTGGGGCGGGCAGCAGCAGCGGCACTGGGAAGGGGGGTACGGGGGGACTGCAGCCACCCCAAAATTCACTGTAGCTCCTGTCCCAGTGCCACCACCACATGCCTCAAGCACAGCCCAGCCCAGCCCTTGCCCCCACTGGGAAGAGCCCAGCCCCAGGGGCTGGGGTGGGTGGGGCCTCAATCTGCCCCACCACCGGTGGTGAGAGAGGGAATGGAGCTGGGCCTGGGGTTGGAGCAGAGGCAGCACTGCAGAGCTGGGGCAGGGCAGGGGGCACAGCTGCTGCTGTTATGGGCTGCTGCTGTAGGCTGGGGCTGGGGGCTGCGCTGGGAGCCGGCAGGGTGTTGGGCAGCGTTGCACTTGGAGTGGGCAGCAGTGGTGCTGGAAGGGGGTGGGGTTGGGAGGCTATGGTGAATTTTGGAATGGCTGCAGCCCCACCCCCATAGCCCTCTCCCAGCACTGCCCACCCTCAATGCAGCCCGGCTCAGCCCCCGCTGGGAAGAGCCTGGCATGGTCCCAAGCCCACGTCAGCAGCCTGGAGCAGCAGAAGCTGCACCCCCCATCCTGTACCCAACAGCCAGGGCAAGCAGTGGCAGCACTGAGAGGGAGATTATGTGGGGGCTGCAGCCACCCCAAAATTGGTTGTAGCTCCCCACCTCCCCCCCACCATAGTCTCCCTTCCAACACCGCCACTATCCACTCTGAGCACAGCACAGCCCAGCCCTCCTGTAGGGAAGAGCTCGGGGCCTTCCCCGAGGTTCTGGGGTGAGTGGGGCCTTGATCTGCCCCCACCCCCACCAGTGGTGAGGGAGAGAGTGGGGCTGGGGCCCAACCCACAGCGGCAGCCCATAGCAGCAGGAGCCATGCCACCCATCCTGCACCCCACCCCAACTGTACAGAGCCTGCCTCTGCCCCAGTCCCACTCCCTCCCTCACCACCGGCAGGGGTACAGATCAAGGCCCCATTCACCCCAACCCTGTTCCTACCTGTGGCCCACTCCCTCCCTCACTGCTGGGACCTCGATCTGCTGTCCCACCAACAGCCCTTTCCCCTGCCCCCACATAATTACCTGCTGCCAATCGCATGAGAGTGAATTTACTTCACATATAACGAATTTGGGGTATAAAAAGGGTCATTGCATAAGAGCAAATTCGCATATACACAACCCACATAAAGTGAGGGAAACCTGTAGTTTAGGAGATAGGAAGGAAAAGTGCTTAGTTCGTAAATTAATCAGAAATAGTGGGTTCTCTTATAGCTTTGCCACAGATTTTCACTTCTGTCTCTCAGCAGGCATGTCTACACATGCTATTAATACACATTAGGCTTTCTGAGCAGTAAAATACTGCGCAGTAAGCATTCCCAGGAATGTATCTACACACACGCCCTCTTAGACACAGATTTGCTCCCCATGGCAGCAGCCCATCCAGGGCTGCTCCTACCCAGCTCTGCCTCCCTGCAGCAGCCAGAGGGAGCTCCATGCCAGGTGGGGCTGGGAGAGCTGTGCCAGCTGCAGAAGCAGCTCTCTCTCTCCCTGCCCTGTGCATGTGGGGACACATCAACATGTACACAGAACTGGGAGAGCTGTGGGGCTGCAGGTGCCTCTCAGGCCTGTGCACATGGGGACCCTTACAAAATTCCTCCTGGTCAGCATCTACATGTGCTGTGCTGTGTTGTGCAGTAGCCACCACACAGTTAATCTACCCATATCAACAGGTAGTAACCAACCATGCAGTTGACTGTTTACTGTGCAGTAAATGCAGCACTTGTAGATGGTGATGCTTTACTGCACAATAGATTAGTCTATCTAATGTAGGCATGCCCAATTTCTCAAGTTAGCTAAGACGCTTTTCTGTTGACTGACTACTATTTTTCAGTCCCACTCCCCTTAAAAATTGTGAAATGTTGCTAAACCAAAAACAAATGGCTTCTGTGTCTGCCTTGGATGGGGCCACCTTTCGATACCAAAGTAAAGTGATCCATCTGTTTCCAGGTTTTTACTAAAGAGAAATGCTGGAGATTATATCCTATAGCCACTTGACAGTTTCAACACTTGCTACCTTGACTTTCTCATTGATTGCTCTTTCCTTGTAGTCTGATTTGTGCCAGTTATGATATATTATACGTATGTTGTGATCTCAAGAGGCTATTTTCAGTAGATAGAGTCAACTAATGACACGTTTGCTACATTTGTTCTCTAGTACAATGTCATGAGGATTTAAAAGAATTTAGAAGTAGCACAAAAGAGAGATCTATCTCTGAACATATCTTTACCCAATTTGGTAAACTGCTATGGAAATTTTTCATTTAATTAAGTCATTCTTCATTTAAAATAACAAGAATGTAAGTTCTATTTATTTATGAAAACTTGAATTTATGCATTTGTTTAATTATTATAAATGGTTTTTGAAGTCACAAGTAATGTATTGGCAGTTGCCTCACTATTTGTAAAACTATCGGTTCCTCCACTGTAAGTTCCAGCTTGCATGGATAATAAATACTTGCAATAAAATTTCTCTAATGTGCTTTATGATGGGTACAGTGTTTCTGTTTACAAATTTCAATGGGCAAATCCTGGCAACATGTTCACCATTTACCCAGTGCAGATCCTATAGAATCTTTTTCGCCTTGACTAGCCTTAATATTTTATATAATTTTTTTGCCACAGTGATCATATAAAATTATCACAGTTTCCCCAAATGACTTTTGAACATTTTTGAAATGTTGGTTTAATATCTTCTTTTCTTAGGATTTCTGTCATTTTCTAGTTACTTTTATTTATTTTTACTTTAAAAACCGATAATACATATTGATTCCCATAATCCTCCCAGCACAGTGATGGGATTTTCAAGTGGCCTGCATTGCACTATGCCACTACTTAAGTCTGACTTCAGTGATAGCTGAGTTAGGCCAACACCTGCTTTTGAAAATCTACACTTGTATCTTTTCTAGTTGACACTGTTGGTCTAATCATTCTGTCTTTCAGAAGAAAGCAGCAGAAAGTGCCAATTTTGACATATGAATCAATCTGGCTTTCAGGCAGCTTTGCAAAATGGTTTTTGAAATAAATTGAGATCCTGAAAATGCTTGTATGTCATTTAACAAAACAGTCTAGCAAATAAGTAACTTTTAGGAGATTTTCCTGATTAAGGAAGTTTCAAGATTCAGTATAAGCAATATTTTCCAGTAGGTGGTGCAAACCGTCTCAGTTTGAGCACAAAATGTAATTTAAGACTGTACAGTGAACATCATAACAAGATTCCTCTATTGTTTTTTTCTCATTTTTTAAAGAATTTTGTTTTTACTTCACAGGAGCATGTATTTCCTGCATAGATGTCTTTTTCTTGATCTCTCCTTCCTTCTCTGCAGTCTGAGAAGTGGCAAAATTCCTACGGAAATGGAGACAGGGTTTAGATAAATGTTAGGTTATTGTGAATTGCATAAGAAAAATGTTTTTTTTAAATACATTTTGTTGTATGTTTGCTTGTAAAAGAAACGTTTTATTCAAGTACTCAAGCATAGCATTATTTCTATTAATGACTGTGGCTGGGTGGCAGAGAGTTTATTAATGAACATAAAATAATCATAGAATCAGACAGTTTATAATAATTGCTTTTAAATTAAATTAATAATTAAAATGAATAAAATTAATAAAAACAAATACGAGTAATTAAATAATAATTGCTTTTAAATTAATGTACTGTTTTTTCTACCCTGGAGACTGGAGTTGTATTGCAGTTTAGATTCTGCATAAATTGAATTTTGTAGCCATTTAGTGTTTTCATAGTAGATATTTGTCTACATAAAGTCATCTGCAATCCTTGTTTAGGATTGGCTATAAAGTCTGGAAGGAAGCCTTGATAATCCTGGCTGGGATGCTGGAATAAGACAGAAACTAAACAAGTCCTAAACAGTTCCTAAGAGGATTTACATAAAGCCCACCGATTCCTTCAGAAGAAGAGACTATTAGTCCATTAATATCAACAAAGGGCATTCTCTCAGCATCAGTGGGCATTGGTTCTGGTCCTAGTGAATGCTATGGCAATGTCCAGGCAAAATAGATTAATTAAATAAACAACAGTCCTTTACATTGAAGTTGAGTAGTAAAGTCAGTTTAGTCTTGTATGAGAGTATTAATGGTATCCGAGAAAGTGCATACATATGTGACAAAGAGATAAAGCTTTGACCAATTCTTCCCAGACATATCTACATGAGACATTTACTAGAGCTGCCTAATTAACTCCACCGTAGAGTCTCAACATCTGCATGTGTGGCCCTTTTAGACAGCAGGAAATGAATTAACTCTGCCATGGGTTAGCTCTTGTAAATACAAGTACTATTATTTGGCAGAGTTCTTTAGTGCACAGCAATGCACACATAGACACAGAGGGCTGGCTGGGGCATAAGGGAAGCTTCAGGGGCTGCCTGCCAGCTAGCTCCACACTGGAGCACCCTCATGCCCCAGCCAGCCCCTCCACAGTACACTGAGCCAGGTCAGAGCAGCTACAGGCTGGCAGGCTGAACCCCTGGGTCCCCTACCAGCCGGGGATGCTTCAACCTGGCTCAACATGTTGCAGTCCTGGGTGCACGTGTAAGTGTGGCTCTCAGGAGCAATAAACTCTGGCACCTATTTATTGTTTTGTGCTAATAGCACTGTCACAGTGTGGGGTCCCCAGGGTTGGCCATGATGCCCCTAGGGCTCCATGACAGTGCCAGTTTCACCTTGTGGGTGCCTTCTAGTCCACCTGCCACATCTTGTTGGTTAAGATAATAGGTAAGGAGGCTGCCCTCAAGTTGCTGCACAGTCATGGTCCTGATGGACCCCACTAAACCTTGCAGGTTCTTAGATCCTTGCTGGGTCCTGCTCTAAGTAGGTGCCTCACAAGACACCCTAAGCCTTATGGGCTAGATGTGTGGCTCCAAAACTGCCCCTTTACCACATCCCATGCCTCGCAGATTATACTTAAACATTGTCCTTTTTGATGAGGCCACAGTCTAGCTTGGCCTCCTGTCATCACCAGGCCTACCACAGCCCCCAGCACCATACCCTGCCTAAATACCCTCATCCTGGTCCACCGGATTCAAATAACAATGTAAATACAAGCCCCTGGGCTATAACATAACAGCAACAATAACATTGGAGGTTCCCTCTTTAAGGAGGCAAACTTCTCCCTCAACAACATGTGCCTCCTAGCCCCAGATACTTTAGGAGGTCCTAGAGACCATTATTCTTACCAGCAGCAGAATAGGCAACCAAGCATTTCTGCATAGCATTTCCACAAGAACTCCTTCCCCTGTCAGCCCCAGCTCTGGGGCTTACATGTGCTCAGAGCCCTATTTTGTTTTGGTCAGCAGACCAGGTGCAGGTGCCAGCTAATACCCTGATTAGCCTGCTGCCAAGGCAAGCTGCAGCTGTGGAGCCCTGCCTAGCTGGCCAGGCTCCCTAGCTAAGCTGCCTCTGCTCTTGAAGGAGCAGGCACACCTTAGCGCCCCGCAACAAGCATGTGTAGATGTACCCTTTTGCTGCATCCATACATGCAGGTGCATGCAGTTGTAGCAGCTCAAATAGCAGCACAAATTTGTGCCTCACCACATGCCCGAACATGCACTCTGGTGTGGGGCAAATTGTGTCACTAGGGGCAAACTGACCCTGCCCAGCTCCTCCCAGATCTGCAGCCCAGGGGAGAGACTGGGCCCAGCATCTGTGCTGGCTCCAGCAGTAGAAAAAGCTGCCCTGGAGAAGTAGCTCAGGTCTACTTGTCCTCTGCAACTATTGAGGCCCGTTGCCTGGCTGCAACATGCTGCAGTGTGTATCACCATCCATCCCCTTGGACCTTGGCCCCATGGCTGCATGCCTGCCAGACACAAATGGGAACTACGTGGCCACCTGGACTGTGATATGGACACTGTAGCAGAGCCTCCTGCACCTCTGGGTCAGCTGCCAGTCGGCCATGGCTGCACAGATGACCTTTTGCAGCACTGCTGTCATGTCTTCTGGTGTCCCTGCTCTGCCATCTGGGCAGCTGTCACCCAGAAGATGTGCTCATTCTGGCGGCCCACTTTCAACTGTTGAAGCATTTCCTTCTGGTCCCAAATGGCCAGGAGGTCAGCCACTTGGTTTGCACTCCAGCTGAGTCCCCAGTACAAGCGCTGGGCAGGCTCCTCTGCCCAGGTCCCACCACGTGCCTCACCAGCAGGGATCCTGGTGTCTCCTGTTTAAACTTTCCAAATTCTCTGATAAAAAAACCCCCAAATCTACATTCTTCCATGATTAAAATGAAATGTCACGAGACAGAGATCAATTCATAGAATCATAACAAGTTAGGGTTGGAAGGGACCTCAGGAGGTCATCTAGTCCACAACCCCGCTCAAAGCAGAACCACTCCCAACTAGATCATCCCAGCCAAAGGTTTGTCTAGCCAGGTTTTGAAAACTTCCAAGGATGGAGCTTCTAATACCGCTCTGGGTAACCTGTTCCAGTGTTTTTAATTTAGTTTACTGAAGAGTTCCCTAATAAGCCAAGCTAGTCTTCTGCCATACTTGCTAGTCTTCCTGCACATTGGGATGGTTTGTTCCTGCACTCTCAGAAAGGCTACTTTAAAGTACAGCCAGGTCTCCTGGACTCCTCTCCCCTCAGTCTGGCTTCTCAGGGAATCCTGCCTATGAGTTCCGTGAGCGAGTCAAAACCTGCTTTTCTGAAGATATTAGCAATGAAGTTTGTCATTCCAAAATTGCTAAAATATGGCATTTTCCATTTTTCAGGGATGTATTTGGTAGCCGTGTTGGTCTGAAACAAAAAGAAATGCAAAACTCTAAAACGCTTTGTTCAGAGATGATACCTTTTATTAGACAAACTAAGAAATTGCAAAAAAAATCTCTGCAATCTTTCGGGCACATGTGCCATTCTTTAGGCTAAGCAAATATTAAAGATGGTAACAGTCCCCTTTGGTAGCTGATTTTGGAATTATAAACATCATTGTTAAGCAAGAACAAAACAATTCTCCATGCCTTTCTGCCATCTGACACCACTGGGGAAGAAAAACTGCCTTATCTGCACATCAGAGACTAATTCACACAAAGGAACTCTCATGGACCCACAAGAATGTGCATCCACCTTCAGCTACCTCTATACAAAATTAAGTTTATTTTCTACCTAAGGGGACTTTTACCATTTTTAATTTTCTCTTAGCCTGAAGAAGGGTGCATGTGCCTGAAAGCTTGCAAAGAAAGATTTTTTTTGCAATTTCTTAGTTATTCTAATAAAAGGTATAATCTCTGAACCAAGAGTTTTAGAGTTTTGTGCTCTCAACAAGTGTTTTCACTCCTGTTTTTACATCACACATGCTACAACTTGTTGTTAAATGTAAAAGGGTATGAGGAGTCGCTACCTGACCATCAGTGGGGGTTTGTTGAGAAGGGTGCAGGACTTGGTGTCTGGGCGTCTTCCGTGGGGGTCTGCCTCCCCTACACCCCACCTCTTTCCATTCTGTGCTCTGCTCGGGGTAGGCACCTGGGCCCCTAGGTGCCTACCGTCACGTAATGGAGGAAAAGGTCAGCTCCAAAAGATAAACAGAAGGGCATGGGGCCAACATGGGCTGACCCAGCCCTGTGGCCTTGATGCAGGTCTACTGTCAGCAAAGTCCGTGTCACATCAGTATTAATAAAGAAATACAAATAAAGGTGTCCAGTGTTTGTTTGTGGGCTGCGCTTCAGCCTTATAGTTTATGTCTGCCTTTTCCTTGGGTGGCTAGGCTCTTCAGGTATACTCCTCACTCCCAAGCCTGATTCATAAGCTGGGCCTCTACCAAACCCACTCCTGTAGGTAGTTGGGGCCACAGGCACTATAAAGTGCCATGAGGTGCTTGCCAGTACCTGGTCTCTAGTGTTCACCAAGCAGTCCGGTTCCTGTCATCGGAGCCAGTGTCTGGCTGGTTGTGAGCAAGGTGTCCTTGGCTTCCTTGGAGGGAAGCAGCATGGCCTGCACTGCTGTATGAGGGAAATTCCAGGTTGACCAGAGCAAACCCAAGCCCCTGCCTGCCTGCACATGCCCTGTGGTTGCGACCAGGTGCTGAGAGCCCCTGTGCCTCCCAGCTCTAGGCAGCACCGGGCACACTGGATGCTTACTCCTGGCCTCAGCGGGGGTCTGGGGCCAGATGGAGCCTAGATTCCTGCTCCCAGCTCTGCCCAGGGGATGGGCATGTGGAGAGTACATCTCCTGCTGCTTCCCTGTTCTACCTGGGAGGGAAAGATTGTGGGGAGTGCACTGCCTGCCCATGGGCTTGTCGCTGGCCAGCGGGATGGCCCAAGATTTTGTGGGTCATGAAGTGCCCCAGCGGTCATCACCTCGGTGAGTGCAGGGCTGCACTTGGTTCCTGCTACAGTCGGTCTCCCCTTTAATATCTTGTTGACCTGAAAGGTAAGGCTGTGTGGCCTGGCATTACCCTTGATTCTTATTGTTTACAACCTTTATTGAGCCTTGTAGTTCCAAAGCTTGGGGAAAACCAGGGCTAAGACCTACCTTAGAGATGTGCAGTTTAGTCCTGTCATGTTCATTTAGCTTATTGTTAGTA